GGAACCGATCACAATGATCTACATATAACTCCTTCCCATGGGGATGGACAACAGAAAAGTGGGTGAAGGGAGACAGTGGTTGGTGTAAGACATGGGGAAAATTTTTAAATAAATTATCAAGGGTTATTAGCGAGGGAGGGCGGGGAGGGGAGGGATAAAAATGAGGAGCTGATATCAAGGGCTCAAGTAGAAAACAAATGTTTTGGGAATGAGGAGGGGGGCAACAAATGTGCAAATGTTGTTGACACCCAATGGATTGATGTCTGGATTTTTTTAATAGTTGTACGAGCCCCCAATAAAATGATTTAAAAAACAAAACAAAAACAGTAACATTATTTTTTCAAAACTCATTTTATTGGGGGCTCTTATGGCTCTTATCATAATCCATGCATCCATCCATTGTCTCAAGCACATTTGTACATACGTTGCCATCAGTTTTCAAAGCATTTTCTGTCTACTTGAGCCCTTGGTATCAGCTCATTTTTCCCCTCCCTCATGATCCGTTGACACTTTATGAATGATTATTGTTTTTTCAGTCACTGTGCGTTTACGGGAAGGTCTACTCAGCAGTTTGGCTTCTCGGTACACACGCTGTTCAGTGATGCTGCTTTCGTTCTTCACGGTGAGCAAACATTCTCGTTATTCCCATTGTGGTTGTTCTGTCTTCCCGGATGCAGCATCCTTAACCCCTTAAAATCCCCTCTGAGTTAAGCAACCGTTGACTCCTGGGTCTCATGTAGGTGATTTTCCAAAGGGCGGCAGTACTTAGGGGTGAGGCTCATTCCTTTTGGAGTCAACTTGTTAGATAGCCACAAGGTGACCCCGAGTTAGGGCCCATTGCATGTTTGAAGAGTCTCCCAGGCTCAGCCTGTCCACGTGGTCTGGTTTCTTGTTTTTGAGGAATGTTCCTTCCATCTCTGAATGATGTTTTTGCACCATATAGAATTCTATGTTGACCATTTTTTCTTCCAGTTTTTTCTTTCTTAACAATGTGGTTCTACTTCCTTTAATCTTGTACTGTTTCCCACAGGAAGTATGCTGTCATTTATCTTTATTGCTCCTGACTTGTCTTTTTCTCTAGACAATTTTAAGTTGTTGTTTTTTCTCCAAGCCACTACTGGTTTTTAAGCAATTTCATTGAGATTCGCATTTGTATAGTTCAATTTTCATGCCCTTAGGTTTTGTAGCGCTTCAAAACCCTGAAGGTTTATTTCCATGTTTGTTAAGATTTCAATTTTTTTTCAATCATTATTTAATTTGTTTTTCTGTCCTTCTGTTATTGACTGAATTGTGGCAGACAAGGATATATGTTAAAGTCCTAACCCCCGGTACCTTGAACAGGACTTAGCTTGGAATTAGATATTATCAGCTAAATATATGTGATAATACTGGAGTAGGTGGGTCCTAATCCCCATTCAAGTGGGGTCCTTATGAAAGAGCAGAGGCAGAGAGTCCGACAAAGATAAAATGGCCCTATTAAAATGCATCTATTAGCCAATGCATGTCTGAGGCTACTAGAAACTAGGAGAGACAAGAAAGGACCTTCACCTGGGAGACTTCGGAGGAAGCTCAGCTCAGCTGACATACTCTTGGTCTTCTATCAACCAGAAATATCAAGACATGTTTGTTCTTAGAGGTGATCCAGCTTGTAATATTTTGTCAGGCAGCTCCAGGAAATATATATATATAT